AAATTTTATATTAAATTATTATTTAAATAAACTTTCTTATTTAATATATAATATAATTATATTTTTAAAACAAAAATAATATATACATTAATGAATGAATTAAATAACATTTTTAAATAATGATAAAAATTAGATTTGAACGCTTCAAATTAAAAGTTAAGTGTATTAAAATTGAATAAAAAGGAGTATTAAAAGTCTTAGTTTTTAATGGATGTTGTTGAATAAATGCAAATTATGGAGGGAAGAGAACAATCTTTTCCTTAGATATGTTGGATGTAATTTGGTTGGATCAATGGGCTAGACTTTGCTTCCGTCAAGCTACATTTACCAACCCTGGCCTATCATTAGTTGTAGGTTATATTGAATTAATGATGCATAATCTTGAACATTAAAAAAAGACATATAAAATATTTTTTTTTTGGATAACATGACTGTTTTGGTTTTTGACTTGACCATTCACATAAAGATTTACAAAATCATACATATATACTGAGTAAAAATTGACCTTTAAAAGGGGTGAGCATGACTTATTAAAATTATTTGTATTTAAATATTGTTTCAATGACTCTGGTAACTTATTAACTACTCAAAGAAACCCCAATGAGTTAATCTTATTTTATACTATATATTACTTTACTTGAAACTTATAAAACAATTATTATTACAATTAATTCTCTTTTTTGTTGGCCATCGATATAATTTATGATTATTGTGAGATTTTATTTGTGTTATGTATAGAACTCTAATTACATAAACCATCATATTACATTGAAATTTAGCTAGCTGCACAAATCTGCTTTAAATAAGCCTGTTTTATTCAAGAAAAACGAGAGAATTTTTTTTTAAAATTTTAGTAGAAAATTTTGAGAAGATAAGTTTTTTCTTTTGTTTTGCTTTGATTCACTTTATATTTTAAATTATCTAAAAAAAAAAAGAAAAGGAGAAAAATATAAAGATATTATTTTTCTCCTTCCAAACCAAACAGATGAAAATGAAGAAACATTGAATCTTGCAATTGAAGGTAATTAAAGTAAGAGAAGCAAACCATTAAATAACGTCATTGATATTATTTCCAGCTAGCTAGTCAAAAACCCCTTTTCAAATAATACTGTTAAGCTATGAAATGATGAATTTTTCCATCTCCTAGAATCTATCATAGTCAAAGATTTCAACTAAATTTTCTCGCACACTTGTTGGAAAAATGTTTGCGGCATAGATATATATATATATATATATATTTTTAATTACTATCGCAATGCATGTAT